ACATCATGCGTGGTTTTAGACTTTGTTCGATAAAAAATCCACTAAGCTGCCACCATGTTCTATTTCTTATACAAGAATATTATTCACACATCTTGCTTGAACAAACTCTATTTCCAAACTAAACCAATGTTTACAAAAACATCTGACAACAAACATATTTAAACACATGATAAAAAGAACAGACTTAATACAACATGAACTAATATGGGAAATTACGATGTACACTTATTCAATGAGGGTGGGTAATTATTAAGGATAGAACCATAGATAAAACATACTCCCTTAGTAGATTTCTCATCCTTATGGAACAGCTGAAGACAATTTTATTGTTAGTTCATGTACGGTTTATGTAGAGGTCGTGTTTTGTTTACAATTTATTTCCCGTTATTACAGCCATTTAAAACCTCGTTTAACCAAATAATACGATCTAATCATAAACAATAACTTGTCCCCTAGTTATATAACCAAACAGTAAAGCACAAATCAAGAAATTAACCCTAAAATAATGGAAACAAAGTTTCATCGACACTAGCGCCTTTGTGTCACGTACATGAACTAGACACGAAAAACGTGCTTCAAAATTTACAATGGGATGAGAAGTCTACTTGTGTTGGTTAGTCTATGATATAACCATAGACTAACCAACACAAGTAGACTTATCATCCCATTGTAAATTTTGAAGCTCGTTTTTCATGTCTAGTTCATGTACGCCACACTGGGCGCTAGTGTCGACGAAGTTTTGTTTCTATTATTTTAGGGTTAATTTCTTGATTTGTGCTTTACTGTTTGGTTAAATAACTAGGGGACAATTTATTGTTTATGATTAGATCGTATTATTTGGTTAAACGAGGTTTTAAATGACTGTAATAACGGGAAACAAAATGTAAACAAAACACGACCTCTACATATAACCGTACAGAACTAACAATAAAATTGTCTTCAGCTGTTCCATAAGGATGAGAAATCTACTTGGGGGAGTATGTTTTATCATAGACTAACCAACACAAGTAGACTTCTCATCCCATTGTAAATTTTGAAGCACGTTTTTCGTGTCTAGTTCATGTACGTGACACAAAGGCGCTAGTGTCGATGAAACTTTGTTTCCATTATTTTAGGGTTAATTTCTTGATTTGTGCTTTACTGTTTGGTTATATAACTAGGGGACAAGTTATTGTTTATGATTAGATCGTATTATTTGGTTAAACGAGGTTTTAAATGGCTGTAATAACGGGAAATAAATTGTAAACAAAACACGACCTCTACATAAACCGTACATGAACTAACAATAAAATTGTCTTCAGCTGTTCCATAAGGATGAGAAATCTACTAAGGGAGTATGTTTTATCTATGGTTTTATCTATGATAGAACTGATAACTGTATGGATAATAAACATTCACAATTACGTCATTAGCTTTACTAGCGTGTTTACTTTTTATATTCCTGCTACATGTGACCAGTTCTTTTAGTAATCGTGAGTTCTTTTTTTCAAATGGATGTTATTTGAACCAAACAGCTGTTTCAAAACAAACTGTTATTGTTTTTACTTTTCTTTGTTTACACTTATTTATTTAGCAATTAATGCAGTGAAATAGATGTAAAGGATAGGTGTAACGATTTATGTGTACTGTGAATTTTATTGGATATTATCGTTTTATTTTAGGTCGTTTCTATTCAGACCTACTGGAAATTGGGTGTATAGTAGTTGTATTGTGGAATAATTATGGAAGAGGCAGGTATGCTATGGAAGGTGGTATAGTTGACTAAGTCTATACACTTTTCAATTGACTATTACTCTTTCTACTGTAGACTACTTATAATCAGTGTGCGTCTGTGCGAATCGGCTGCAAATCTCATTTCAACGCTTTTCACATCGTAAAAATTGCAGAATTGCTGTTTTATTGTAAAATTATCGGATTTAAAATGCATATCGTATAGGTCTATGATGGAATAAAAACATATTTGGTCACACAACATTTGTTTACAAGATGATTTTTCACATTAAAACTGCAAGAAACTTTGTCTTTATATGTGTAAACTAGCTGAACTGAATTGTACACGGTTTTAACTGACTACTGAATTCCCGTACGTAGGACGGGCTAACACCTCGTACTAAATGAATAACAATTTATATTATTAACAAACACCTTTATATCTTCAATCAGATTGTTTATCTTTATTTTGAAATGTTTGTATAAAGAATCTCTTGGGATCATTTCGAACTGTCAAAATAAAGTATTTACAGCTGACTTAAATTAATTGATATATTTACATTCTTTCAAAATGTAAACATGGAAAATTTGGATGCCGATGGGGCGTAGCCCAAGAGAAATGTGCAAATTAAACTATATAATATTGCATTGTCCTCCTATTGTGAGCTATGTTTCAAATTTCAAGTCTCTAGCTCAACGGGAACTTCGTTTGAAATTGATATCAAAATTTGTAGGAAACCGGGCTAATAAAAAAAGCCCATGGGGCGTAGCCCAAGGGAAATATGAAAATTAAATGATATAATATTGCATGGTCATCCATTTGTGAGCTATGTTCCAAGTTTCAAGTCTCTAGCTCATCGGGAAGTATCAAAATTTGCAAGAAAGCGAGTTAATAAAAACAAGCCCATGGGGTGTAGCCCAAGGGAAATGTGAAAATTAAATGATATAATATTGCATTGTCTTCCATTTTTGAGCTGTGTTTCAAGTTTCAAGTCTCTAGCTCATCGGGAAGTTAGTATAAAATTGACTGCAAAGTTTGTACCGGACAAGAAAGCGAGCTAATAAAAACGTTTTAAAAAGTAAATCGGTCCTGGGTCCAACCATAGATATGGTCCAACTCATACCATGAGACCTACGGTTATAGCTTATTCCCTATATGGGAAATTCGCTATAAAAACTAAAATGTAAATAAATAAGCAAGTGTTGATGAGTGTTTTGTGTTGGTGACGTTAGAGTGCACTGGCGTCAACTTAATGTTACACTCATATTTAAGGGTGTTACAATAATCTGTATAGTACTGACTTATCTGTCTTCAGCTAATCCATCATACAAGAGTATTTTTAAAGAGTAAGCTCATGCTTAAGTTTTCTATTTATATTGCTCGGTCCCCCGGTACTTAATCTTAATCAGACTTATTGCTTACATCTGGGTGTAGCCCAAGGGAAATGTGAAAATTAAATGATATAATATTGCATTGTCTTCCATTTTTGAGCTGTGTTTCAAGTTTCAAGTCTCTAGCTCATCGGGAAGTTAGTATAAAATTGACTGCAAAGTTTGTACCGGACAAGAAAGCGAGCTAATAAAAACGTTTTAAAAAGTAAATCGGTCCTGGGTCCAACCATAGATATGGTCCAACTCATACCATGAGACCTACGGTTATAGCTTATTCCCTATATGGGAAATTCGCTATAAAAACTAAAATGTAAATAAATAAGCAAGTGTTGATGAGTGTTTTGTGTTGGTGACGTTAGAGTGCACTGGCGTCAACTTAATGTTACACTCATATTTAAGGGTGTTACAATAATCTGTATAGTACTGACTTATCTGTCTTCAGCTAATCCATCATACAAGAGTATTTTTAAAGAGTAAGCTCATGCTTAAGTTTTCTATTTATATTGCTCGGTCCCCCGGTACTTAATCTTAATCAGACTTATTGCTTACATCTCAAACTATATAAAATCATAGTAATCATTTTTTTGAAGTTCAACAACACTCGTTTCATAAAAACTTACCTTTAAAAGGGATGCAAAACACACGGTGATAATAAATTAAAAATTACCCATTTAATGTAGTATAATCGGATTTTAAGTACTGTAGGTATAATGACAACGACCGACCAATGGTGTTGCTTAGTCTATGGTTGTATGCTAAACAACTTATAAGGAACGAAAAAAACTGCAATAACAATTCGCCTATAGACCCTTTACCTTTTTCTAAACAGCTGATACGTATTGGATGGATGACATAATGCAGTAAAAATTGGAATAAAATTTGTACAATGATAATAAAATGGCATACAAAACTAGGGGTTTGAACGATCAGAATTTAATTCAGAAAAGGGTTGGGCAAGGTTTTAATAGCTAATGATATTGTCAACGACTCGGTGAATACATGAAAGAGTTCGTTGTTGTTCGGAGCTTTTTTCCCTAGAGGATAGGAAAACGACAATCTTATAACTGAAAATAACTGTCCATATTTTATAAATACAAAGTTTGCAAATCTACAAGGGGGTTAGTTTAGTTTAACACCCTTATGTACGTGAATGCGATTTCGACGAAACACTACTCCTCCGTTAATAATGGACGGATTTTTACAAACGATGTGTCAAAATTAAGTATTTTTTGTGTAGACGCCCACTTTCACCAATTCCTGTAATAAAAGTCTTCGGGCTTTGCCCCCCAGGCCATCAAATTCCCACTGTATTTTTAATGACGAAAACTTTCTAAACCAGCTGTAAAAAATATTACTTCAGTAGTGGAATTTGTCAAGTGTCAAGATATTTTGCGCCATGTGTACATCAAGCAAACAACCTATGGTTTAATATAGCGAAGCACGTCCAGAGTAACTAGTTTTACCTATTGGAAATAGAACTGCAAACTAGAACCAAAATACATTTGCGATACCGGACCGGTGCCTTTAATTTTATTTTAGTTTAACCTAATCACTGTTGATAATGTTTAGTTTTAAATATCCAGCGGTGAATTCTTCAGATTTACAGCACACATAGGAGTAGGCTATTTTCAGAACCGAATGAAAGTGGACGACAAAAATTCGCTGCATTTGTTAAATAACCAACACAAACAAATTTAAGATTGTTTCTTCCCTGCGTATACAAAATGTAGTCGTTGTACAGTTATGCAAAAAGTAGACTGATTCTTAACAACTTAAAATTCTCACCGCAGTCACAACAGTCGGCTATCGAAAGCAAGCTTTGCAAAACCAAACTCCATCTCCTGCATTCGATCTAGAGCTTCCTTAAGTTTGACCTTGTATAAGCAAAATACACTCACCAAAGTGGGAATTTAACCATCTTCGACATGCACTACTCGACCCACTGGATAATATTATCACGATGACACTGATAACACTGGAAACTATGGTGTCGGTGATAGCGAGCGTTAGGCCTACTGCGCATGTGTCAACGCGCAGACTACGTGTAAAGCTGCGAGCTTGTGTCGATAATGTGTTCACCACATCACCTGTTCGCAGCCTAGTTCACGGTACAACACATCAGTACTGTTCTGAGTAGAGTATTTAGACAGCTCAATTTGTGTAGATCTGTGTAATTTACGAGCATGTACAGTCACAAATGTCAATGCAATTACACTAAAAATTACCATTGAACAATGTTACCTGTGGCATTTTGTATCAGACATAACAAGAGACAATAGGAAGTGTGAGACATTGACAATATGTTTGGATCAAAAGTTCTAAATCTACCTATACATCTAATTCGGTAAGCCCAAAATTTTACAATGAAATTGTGAACGACCGGGAAACCGTAAAAAGCTGGAAGAGATCTTATGTTAAGGGGCTGGGCATGAAATTTTGGGAAAATTACTTATTTTTCGCTCTATTTATGTGCCAATCCTGGGTACCAATTATGCTCCAAAAGTTTGTTACACGATCAAATAATTCACATAAAACAATGCCATGGGAATCTAATTTTATGACTTTAATTTAGTGTAAACACAGCTGTGTTTATATAAATTGAAATAGTTATAACCACAAAATTGTTAGTGAGGTAGTAAACAACACAAAGCGAAAATTAGATAAAAACTTTGATCAATTTGATACTTTTACAATGGATTTAGAAACTTACAATGGATTGTTCTTTTGCACAGTAATAATGTAGTCGGAAGTCACCCACGCAAAGAAATATTTTTCCTCAAAATGAGAACAACAGGCTCCAGATTTGGCACGATATTAATGGAAGAAGAATAAAAAACGAGCATCGGATGAACATGACGTTATTCCTGTGTATAGATTACCACCGACTAGCACTTTTGAATGAGATTGCATTACACAGCGTAGGACCAATGAACGATGGGTGCATTCACTGCATTCATTGTGTTGCGCAATTTGGTGAAACTGTGGCGCAAAGCAGAACCTTAATAAAAATTGACATTTATTTGGAAAACCCAGTGTTTACCCCATGGTCGAATACTATACAACAAATGTTTTCAGAGAGATTTTGTATTAGAATTTGCATTTTACAATTTAGAATATGACATTACCTCTATGTGTTTTTCTAAGTGAGTTTGTCTATATTCAAAGAAATCCATATAAATTTAATTAATAGACATGAAGATTATTATTGGAAAAGTTTCCTTAGTTGTATTATGATTAGAAAGTTTATATTATAAACACTCCGCATGTCCTTTGGAATTTTTATTTCAAACAGAGATATATGCAGATATATGCAGAGATATATGCATCAAAATTCATTATGCAGGTATGTAATAACTATTATCGCTATCATAATATACGAAAATATTAAACGATAATTGAAGGTAGGATAACCCATGAGGCTAAGTATCTGTAGAAAATAATTAGTAGGGACTATTGCCCCTACAATCCACTTGTTAACAACTACGTTGATTTAATGGTAAGAAACAAGAAAAAAATGCAATGTAACACAGTCCCATGTTAAATTCGTAACCATTTTGATAAAACTGCAGTTGTACCACCTTATCTTATCTTATCTTATCTAGCAGGGGCAGGTCAAGACCTTAAAGCACTTCATCCGAAATCGAATTATTGCGCACCCCAGACAATTGTTTTCGTGTTGACCTTACAAATTAAGGTGTCCAATGAATGCCTGTAACTTCCCGATAAGTTCATCCTCCAGGAAGATCTTCCTCTAGCCAGATTACCAAGAGTTGTCATTCTAGCATCAGAGAGCTCGTTACAGTCAAAGAGTAAGTGATAGGCTGTGTTAAATTCGTAAACATTTTGATAAAACTGCAGTTGTACCACCTAATGAACCATCTAATACTAGTTTGCGTTAAATGCACCAATTTGAACTGAGTTAAACGAAAAGAAACTGTTACTGTAGGTCTAAACGAAAGCAACATTAATGTCAAATAAAATATCAAACTATCAAAATATAAGAGAAAAACGCCCAGAAATCGAAGTACCGTTAAGAGAATAAGACTATATATTTATATGTGTAAAAATAGTTACACGAACTACAGTAGGTAATTATTGAGCGGATAGAAGTGAAGTTTACAAAACTGTACTAGTCCTGAACGGCTGAAGCGATCTGCACGAAATGTTAACACAGTCATGTAACCAACCATGGAAAGGTATAAATCTGAAATGGTACAAATCGGACCACAGGCTTTCCCCTACGTGAATTTAAACTTTAAGAACTTTAACATGGGCCTTTTTAGTTGATCACCATGACATTATTTGCAAGATAACAATACAGTAAATACCTCCGCGAAGCAAACCTGCAGACTAAGCGAATTTCCATTCGCCTGATTTGATTTTCTGTTTAGTCCATTTAAATAACATAAGGTTAGCAAGTACCTAGGTTGCTACTACAGTGATGCTAACCAATTGTATTTTTTGTAAAATATTAATAGCCTAGTATAAAATAATACAATTTGCCAAGTTTTATCAAAATATATACATAAACAAGCAAACTACAACAATATACAATATTCTCCATAAGAATGACATAGGAAATTTAAAGTTACGATTGTTTTAGCATAGTTATTTTTGCATGACGTAAACGTTATAAGTTGAACGGTTCTTGAGTTTATGACGCGAACACACAGATGCACAGAGTCACAGACAAGCGGACAACTAAATCTCGCGACTGCTCTATACACGATACATAGATGCACAGAGTCACAGACAAGCGGACAACTAAATCTCGCGACTGCTCTATACACGATACATAGATGCACAGAGTCACAGACAAGCGGACAACTAAATCTCGCGACTGCTCTATACACGATACATAGATGCACAGAGTCACAGACAAGCGGACAACTAAATCTCGCGACTGCTCTATACACGATACACAGATGCACAGAGTCACAGACAAGCGGACAACTAAATCTCGCGACTGCTCTATACACGATACACAGATGCACAGAGTCACAGACAAGCGGACAACTAAATCTCGCGACTGCTCTATACACGATACACAGATGCACAGAGTCACAGACAAGCGGACAACTAAATCTCGCGACTGCTCTATACACGATACACAGATGCACAGAGTCACAGACAAGCAGACAACTAATGCACAGAGTCACAGACAAGCGGACAACTAAATCTCGCGACTGCTCTATACACGATACACAGATGCACAGAGTCACAGACAAGCGGACAACTAAATCTCGCGACTGCTCTATACACGATACATAGATGCACAGAGTCACAGACAAGCGGACAACTAAATCTCGCGACTGCTCTATACACGATACATAGATGCACAGAGTCACAGACAAGCGGACAACTAAATCTCGCGACTGCTCTATACACGATACACAGATGCACAGAGTCACAGACAAGCGGACAACTAAATCTCGCGACTGCTCTATACACGATACACAGATGCACAGAGTCACAGACAAGCGGACAACTAAATCTCGCGACTGCTCTATACACGATACATAGATGCACAGAGTCACAGACAAGCGGACAACTAAATCTCGCGACTGCTCTATACACGATACACAGATGCACAGAGTCACAGACAAGCAGACAACTAATGCACAGAGTCACAGACAAGCGGACAACTAAATCTCGCGACTGCTCTATACACGATACATAGATGCACAGAGTCACAGACAAGCGGACAACTAAATCTCGCGACTGCTCTATACACGATACACAGATGCACAGAGTCACAGACAAGCGGACAACTAAATCTCGCGACTGCTCTATACACGATACATAGATGCACAGAGTCACAGACAAGCGGACAACTAAATCTCGCGACTGCTCTATACACGATACACAGATGCACAGAGTCACAGACAAGCGGACAACTAAATCTCGCGACTGCTCTATACACGATACATAGATGCACAGAGTCACAGACAAGCGGACAACTAATGCACAGAGTCACAGACAAGCAGACAACTAATGCACAGAGTCACAGACAAGCAGACAACTAATGCACAGAGTCACAGACAAGCGGACAACTAAATCTCGCGACTGCTCTATACACGATACATAGATGCACAGAGTCACAGACAAGCGGACAACTAAATCTCGCGACTGCTCTATACACGATACACAGATGCACAGAGTCACAGACAAGCGGACAACTAAATCTCGCGACTGCTCTATACACGATACACAGATGCACAGAGTCACAGACAAGCGGACAACTAAATCTCGCGACTGCTCTATACACGATACACAGATGCACAGAGTCACAGACAAGCGGACAACTAAATCTCGCGACTCCTCTACAGTATACACGATACATAGATTCGTTCACTTCATTCACTCATTCACTATATTGGCTATATCTATTGGGATACTTGATTGATTGGGATACTTAACATATTGCCGAGACCGCGAAAAATGATGGTGATGAGACGGTGACCGCGAGAGACGATGATGGTGTCAACACGACCATGGGACATGTTTATCAATTTGCTGCGGTCACGTAAAACGATGACAATGTTACCGTTACCGCGGGAGACGATGATGGTTTCAACACCACCATGGGACATGTTTATGATTTTGCTGCGATCACGAAAAACGATGACGATGTTACCGTTACCGCGGGAGACGATGATGGTTTCAACACGACCATGGGACATGTTTATGATTTTGCTGCGGTCACGAAAAACGATGACGATGTTACCGTTACCGCGGGAGACGATGATGGTTTCAACACGACCATGGGTAATGTTTATGATTTTGTTGCGATCACGAAAAACGATGACGATATTACCGTTACCGCGGGAGACGATACTGGTGAGACATGTTTATCAATTTGCTGCGATCACGAAAAACGATGACGATGTTACCGTTACCGCGGGAAACGATGGTGTCAACACGACCATGGGACATGTTTATCATTTTGCTGCGATCACGAAAAACGATGACGATGTTACCGTTACCGCGGGAGACGATGATGGTGTC